TTATTGTTTATTTATTTTTTTTAACCGTCTCTTAATAATTTATATGTTTATTGTTTTATGTGCCTATTTTTTATTATTGTATTTAATTGAATAGAAGTTCTTTTCCCCTTTTATGTTCTTGCATAAATTATACCAAAGTCTTGGCATTTAAATTAAATGAGATTTGTTGCATGCCCTAGCCATAAATGAAGCTATTTCATGTCTCATCGATTCGAGCCCATCTCGTCACTTTGCAGCACTCAACACGGGGGAAAAAAATAAACACACCCACGCACACTCAGCCATACGCATATAAAAATACTCATAAACATGTTCATGCCGTTGGCTTTGCTTTCTATTCGGCTTTTGTTATTTTTGCATACGTTATGCATATTTTTGTACAATTTTTCATTTTGCATTCAGTTGTCTTTTTTTTTTTTTTTTTTTTTTTTTTTTTTTTTTTTCATGTTATTCTCTCGTTCTTCTAAAGAAATTGAAAATGTTGCTGGACATCTGAAGCTATGGAAGGCAGCTTGGGCGAAGCCCTTGGCTTTTTGTTGGGCTGCGACTACGACTTTATATTAACACTTGAACATTTTTGGGCATTATCATAAGCTATGCTTGCTAGTGATTGCTCGCCTCAGCATTTATTGTCCCCTCAGCTATTGGCAGGCCAATTTTCGTGAATATTTGTTGAAAATTCTATCACATATTTGAAATTTGGCTTGGACAGCACTTTTAACCATTTACCTGAAGGCAATTTCATGTGTGTTTATTTTCTGCATATTTCATGTATAGTTTTTGATTTTTTTTTTATTGTTGTTGTTGTTGTTTTGCTTTCTTCCTTCTATCAAATATTTTATGTTTATTTTATGGTCAAGCTCTGCACTCTGAAACACTCAAGAAATATTTTATGCTGTTTAAGTTATTCAACGAAAGATTGAAGTGCGCAATTTTTCGATACATTTTTGGCATTCCATAAACCAGTGTAGATTATTTCTATATAGTAAACAATTTCTTGAATATTCATGTTTAATTTAAAGCACAACTTGACAGTAAAGTAAACTCTAGAGCTAGTAAAAATGCAATTGGATTCAATTGATGAGCCCAAAAGTTGCATTAAAATATACACTTACATTGGTATAGGCATACAACTATATTTATTTATTTACATTTATATGTACTCATCATCATTTGCAATTGACTCAAGCCACGACTCAACTTGAGTTTCTTTGGGTTACCCTTGTTTTTRATTGTCTTCAATTTATTTTATTTTATTTAATTTTTTTGAATCTCAAAATTTGTTTTTAATTTCTTTGTATTTGTTGAGGCATGCAGAGCACACAAACACCTCTTTTCGCAGAAAACGCCCACGCCCATCTGTCCCCTCATTAATATGCAATAATATTTAAGTACAGTGCCTGTTGAGTTAACAACTGTGTGGAAGAGAAGTCCATTTGGCCTTTCACAGCGCTGTCTATGATATGAGAGCAGAATTGTTGGCCCCGGCTTTCACTTTCGCTCTGGGGCGTAAACAAATACGCGACTGCCACGCGTCAGTCATTAAATTAGAAATCCAGGAACGCGCTCAACCCCAACGCGGCTTTTGAACTTTACAAGCAGTTGCCGCCGCATGCGTTTTACGTTTTACGTTTCACGTGGTACGTTTACGTTTACGTTTTTGTGGGAAGGCGCTCAGCTGCTGTATGGGTGGGCGACATGTAAACAACTCGAGACTCAACTCCAACTCCAACTCCAATGCCAACGCCCACGCCCACGCCAAAACCAACTCCAGCTCCAATGTTGGCTGTGCCAAAGTTTTGTCAGTTAACTTACCAACATTGCTAATGAGAACGTCGCCTAATTAAAATAAAATTTACACATATTTATTACGGAAATTGGCAATTATACAGTTTCTGAAGCGTGTCCCTGAAACACATTATAGCTAAATATATGGGGATTTTGTGAATCGTTAATATCATAAATAGCCATTGTTGCCTTTTTCAACTTCTTTACCACCATGATTTTCATAGTACTGAAAGTATAGCAAACCAATTTTGCCTTTGGAAGTGGGGTCATAATCACGAAAAGTTTAGTACCCTTTTGCGTTGATATGGCTTGCTATTAAAATACAAAACAAAACAATAAAATAAAAAATAAATAAATCAAAAAAATTAAATTATATTATTTATGAAAGGTAAAGGTTTTCGTTCTCTTTCAAGTATTTCTTTTAAATGCGTTTTCTTAATGGGCATCATATAATAAAATTTCATATAAATAAATTTTGAGAATTTTATATAGGAGAATTTTGTCTAAGACTTGGGACTTGAGCTATTGCCGATAAGAAGGGAATAGGGTAAGTTAGACATCAACAGATTATTAAGAATTTCAGTTTTTGATTTTTGATGGGGTATGTCATGTTTCCTTTAGTTTTTCGAATTTTCACAATATCACTATACTCTGAATCAATATTTTCCATAGTTCAGATCAAACTACAGTTTGTACTAGCTGAGAGTATTTTAATAATCATATGCGACTTAACTTTGCATTTAGATTCCATAGGTATAGATATAGGTACTCTAACTTACAACAATCAATATCTTTTGCATCAACTGGGCTAGACTGTCCTCATCCACAATATAGCCCGATGGCAACTGTATCTCTATATTCGTGCCCATATACGCCTTTCGTTTCCGTCCAAAGCGCTGAATGCAAAACTTGATATTAAATTCATTACTGAATTGTATGGTTGCATGGTATAAATTGTAACTTGTATCCTCTTCAACATATTCATAGCTGCAGCGTACAACCAAATCCCCTATGCCATCGGCTTTGAATTCAATGGACGAGTTAATTGGCCTCAAGGTTATATATTGTTCGTCCCACTCATTTGTAGCATTGATATGCAGGGTTTTACTATTCGCCTTCGAAGCTGTCCAGAACGATAGGGTTATGTCTGTTTTGACAAGCGGTAGGGTATTCAGATAGTCGTAATAGGCCTGCTCTGCAATAAAGCACTCATAACAAAAGACATTGAGCATTGGGCCGAGAATTTGGTGCGTTATCCACTCGAAAATTCGGGGCTGCTGTTCAGGGTTTTGTAAAGTCACTTCTCTGGATAAAATACGCCCAGCTGTTTCAAGCTCACGTCGATATTGTATCCAGTTATCATTCTCTTCCGGACGTTTCCATTCAACTGGGTTAAGACCGCGCTTAGCTTCCAAATAGTATTTAAATTTCTGATTCATAATAAAGGTAACCCATGCATGGGGTTGTTTCAATGCGATCAGACGCTTGGAGAATTGCAGAACCTTTAAAACCTCGATATTTAGCTCCAAAGTTGATAAATTTCGTCGGCTAGGTGTATAGCAATTCTCTAGGATCTCTCCGTGCGTTCCACGTTTGCTTAAAACAAATTTCTCACTTTGTTTTATCAATTTTGGCTCATAGATCATATTTGGTAATTTCTCTAAGTAATGCAAGTATTGTACGGCATATGTTGTCATCCATGTTGACGTACAGTTCGCCATATCATTTTGAACATGCAATCGAAATCCTCCATCCGCATGACGTACGCGCATCAGCGATTGCAATCCTCCGATCAACTGCTCCTTCAGAAACTGCTTATAGGCCGGTGAACACCATGTAGCATTCATTACATAGTTGTACAATAAATAAGTGGACATCAGCTTACTGATTATTTCCTCGGTATTATCCGATTCTTTCAAAAACTTCAGATTTTGCAATTTTGGTACAATTAAATGACCACTTATATAGCACTGGAGGCCCGATTCGGATGGTTTGTTCGGCAATATGATTTGTCCTCTCATAGTTTGGTGTCGAAGTGTTAGTGTTTTATACCTAAAGAATTGCTGGGTCCTCAGATGAATGTCTTGCAGAACATAGATCTCTCTAATTATCTCATGGTTGCCAACATCAGAGTGTATGGTAAAATACAGTGTAATTTTTCCTCGCTTAAGGGCGCGTAAATTATATATTGTCTTTTTGGTCTCATTTACCGCTACGGTCACCAATTTGTTGGTTAACCAGCCACGGAAATTTTCGCTGTCCTCAAGCAATTTAAAGCGTGAAGTCACCCTAAGTTTTATATCGAGTCGCAACTTTGTGCTAAACCAGTTAGTACACAGCAAAGTGACTTCAAATTCTTCCCCTAATATTAGAACAAGTCGGAAAGTAGAAAAATGAACATCAATTGAAAAGTTGTATTAATCTGTATAATTTAGAGTTGCCTACCACGTTGTACGGTGCTGGGGGTCTTTAGGGTGTAATAAATATCACTGATGGTTTTTACATTCTTAAACGGTTTCGGCGCTAAAAAGGTTATCCCTGTCTCAGGATGAATTGAAAATGCGCTCATTCTCCAGTCAACAGCCGACCTTGGCACCGTTGTATGCCAAGTGGTCCAATCGCTTTTTGTACTACATTGAAAGTATTAGAGCAGAGGCACCATCACGTATATTTTACAAAGTGATTATTGACAAGAACTTACTAATCTATGCTGTCAAACAGCCAAATATCGTTATATTCGTTGATCACCTTTGGTACATGACAACATGCATAATTCGACTCTATGGGGGTTTTATCTGCATTGGTTATTTTATGAAATTCTGGCCTTGTTGCAATTGTGTAATTAAACGTCTCCATTGGCTTCAACAATTTAATTGCTAAAAACATATATATGTATATTCTGTTAATCATACTGAAATTGAAAAATAATAAACAAGTAAGAATGTTTGCGGTCGGGTGATACCGACTACATAATACTCATTCACGGGCCAAAAACAATTGATTTTTTTTTTTTTTTTTTTTTAACTAGGGAGGAGTCTATATTTTATTTTTTCCCTCTATTTATAATAAATGGGTAAGACCGACAGTAATTTATTGGCTAAGTTTTTCCTCTCTAGCTTGAAAGCTATGGAACGTACAATTCTTCATGTGTGGAACGACTCTATACGTATTTTTGGCCAATCCTTAGAACAAATTTACAATTTTCTAAGGATTCAAAAACACGAAAATGACTATAACTCTACCTCTCGCAATAGACCTGTAAAAATAGGCATAGATTCAATTTATATGGGGTACTAGCTTTAAAACAGCAAATTATAGAGTTTTACCCGAGTCGCTTCTGGGTTGAAGCTGCAGATATGCATATCCGCAATATCTTATCGTGATCTTGGGCTGATAACTCAAGTATATTTTTTCCAAATTTCAATTCTCTTGCATTAAATTTGGGAATTTTCCAACTATTGTTGGGCTTCTGAGATGCCGTAAAGAGCATTGTGGGACCCACAGTGGGTGTATTGATGAAATCGGACAACGAAACGTACATTTCACATCGTGAATGAGTATAAAAAATACGTTTAAAAGTTACTTTGATTTGTGCTGGAAGTGTTGTGGGCACTTGACAGAAATAATAATCCTGCTTGTATAATAGCTAGATTGTCGCTCAAAATTATATCGGACTCCAACACGGATGTTTTTATAAAATCGAAATAGTTTAGACGAAAATCATTATCCATATTTTCACCAAGAGCATAAACTCGATTATCCATAGCAGTAAGGCCAACATAGGAATTTTTCCTAGCTTTGATATTGAACTTGATGTCTACGCCAGGCTCCAATTTGTCGGGCAAGTCGATAAAGACCTTTAAGGCACAACAGTTAATTAGATTCCCATTTCTTGTGTTTAATTGCACACTTACACCGTCATGATGTGATAGCTCCAGCTCAACGGTTATGGAATGTAGGCATAAAGTCATCGATGGAGTGTGCACATAGTACAAAAACACATAAAAGGCTGGCAACAATCGCTTTTTTAATTCAACTGAGACCTCAAAACGTTTTTGTGTGTTATCTGGATGGACTTTTTTTGAATCTAATATACGGCGATTATGTACCACCATAGATATTGCACTCTCGACCACGTGGCTAACATTAAAGTAGACTGTCTCCATTAATTTCATTGGTCTAGCGGGTATTTTACTGAATGTCAAGATTGATTATTTATTTTGGAAGGAAAATGTATTTCTTTTAATATCCATGCAATACTTACGTAGCATCCTTTTCCTGTGGTTTGGATATGGTAAGGTTACCGATATCCCCATTGTTCGTCCATATTGTTACCATCCGTGTTTTATTTTGTTCTTGTTGGATTAACCTCTCATAAATACTTGCGGTTAATTTTAGCTTGCCCGCATTTAGGCCTTTTAAGTTATCTTTGAATTGCTGTAGATCAATAGTGATACTTGCTGTGCCGTTTTCCATCTGGTTCTTAGTTTGTACAACTGGCGAAGCTTTTGTTTTATTTGCATCTATTAGCTCGATATAAACAGTAACAGGGCCTTTGACTGGACCATCAACATCGTGCACTGCCTGTATCACGAGCTCAAATGTGCCGTCCATTAAACTTACTTCAGTTGGAACAGTCATATCAATTCGCATCTGCGATAATCTATATTTTTGAACATGTATATGGGCGCATTCCTCATGGACATGGTAACCATTTCTGGCACAAATACGCCAAAGGCCAAAGTTCAGATGTGAGCTGAGTCTTAATTCACCTTCGTATATTCCATTTTTCAGCTCAAGATTCCTGTAGCCCTTGACATGAAATCCTTTGGAGTCCTCAATCCATATTACTGACTCCTCCACTGCTTTTATGGGCAGCATATTCTCATTGTGAAAGAATGCGCGAAATTGTAGCAATTGTCCGGGATTATAGTAAACCTTGGGCGTTTGTATTTTGATAATGCCATTAAAGTTACGCCATTGTAAGGTCGTTGAGTTCTTCAAATAGCATCCCTGCATCGTCTCTACCTTTAGCCAATAAGTGCCAACATCTAATTTCGGAATATTGAAGTCATACGTAGTGGTTGGAAAATATGGAGTTAGATTCAATATCACGCTCAAATTGAGGTTGGGGCCGCGCAGATAGACATTATAGCTACACAAATATTTGCAATTGAATATGGCCACAGCAACTTTATAGGGTTGATACGATGAGATGGTATAAGGTGCCACCAAAGTATATGAACTGTAGCAATAATGTTAAAGGAAAGAATGGTAGTGCATTAGACGATATTAATTAATTCATAAAATGTAAATGAGTAATTGTTAGAGTTAGTAATTCAATTTGCAAATTTATTTTATTTTATATTTATTTACACGACTCAAACGGCAAGGCTTTGCTAAGACAATTGGACATCAGTAAAACCTCCACCACTTGAAATCCCCATAACTCGTTATGGGGTTTACTTCTTCTAATAATGTTCTACTCTTTTTTTTAATTTTTATTTT